ATTCTAATACTCTACTTCTACCAAAAATCTTATTTTCCATTACCCACTACACATGGAACCACCATTCAGGCTTGCTTACCTTCTCCCTTCTACCCTTAAAGGAGCTCTGATCTCTTCTAGGCTCCATTCAGAATTGATAACACAGTTAAGTGTTGAAATGCAGTAGGTCTCCCTTACCACTCACCTGGTGCAGGGATGGCACTGTGAGTGGGTGAGGCAGCCAATCCCAGGTGACTTCCTGAGACTGGCAAGGCATTGCTCACAGAGGATGAAGTCAGCTGCTCCATCCCCACTGGGCTCAGGTTCATTTCATTCATCCTAGAAAAGACCATATATAACTAGTTATGCAAAAATTTACCTCCATGATCTGTATTAAGATACTGAAGAACCTGAAACAGCGGGGATGGGGAAATGGGACTTGGCCAACTATTACTTGACTTTTATGCTCAACAATTCTCTCAGATAGTGCCAAATTCTTTCTACTGATAGAAAACTGAGACTGAGACATTAACAAACTCAAGTCAATGTCACATAGCAGAAATAGGATTTGAATTCTGCTTTGTTTGAAACTATGTGCATGACATCTAAAGTAAAGCTGCAATCCTTGGAGCACAATGGCAATGAGAGTTTTTTTTTTTTAAATCACTCAAGTTTCGTCTTTTATAATACGTATTTTTCTCCAAATGACTTATTATTTCAAACCAGTTTTTCAGGCAGTGCATTTTAACCTACTCAAATAAATTTCACTAATGATTTTTAACAGGAGTTAAAGATCCAGATTACCAATGATATGAAAAGCACCACATTTTCCCCATTGAACAATGGTTTACTAAAATTCTGTATCAGAATTCTGAATCGGTATATTCATATCCTATTCTTAATGTCCTCCATATATTAAGGGTCACTATGTAAGCTTTGCTACCATTTCATTTAAAATGACTTCAAATCCTCACATCAATACTGCAAAGTAAGATAGATGAAGGAAATATAGCTCAAAGAGGCCATGTCATATGCCCCAAATCACATAGCTATTAGGTGAAAGACCACAGATCAAACTGCAAAACATTGCCAAAAAGTGTTCACTGCATCAAACTTTTTTATAACTACAGACTATTTTTGGCAAGTTGAAGAATCTAGGAATCACCTTTTCTATGCAATCCATTTGTCACTGCCATTACAAAAGTCTTTCAAATAAGAGTATTGATTTGAATAAAAGAGCACTGAAGGCTGTTATCAGTAAGAATTAGTTCTTACATTAGAATTTAGAGACTGCCGTATTATAAACATTATGGAGCCACCAGGCTAGCCATCACGCTTTCCCAAAGGAGGCTCTCTAATGACCTCCACTCCTTACACTGGGCATCATCATAATGCATTCTTGATCTGCATATTGGAGGGATAAGGCAGAGAAAAGGAATCAAATGTGGTTACATATTCCTTAGCAGTGAAAGCAAATCTAAATAGGTTTTTAATTCTGAAAAATGGCAACGCCATTTTATCAATCAATCTGAAAATAATAATAGCTAAAATTTATGGCTCCCTTATCATGTGTTGGGCTTACTATGTATTGGGCTAAGTGATTTACACATCACTATCTCTCTTAATCCTTTTGTTGTTGTTTTGTTTTTTTGGAGACAGAGTTTCACTCTTGCAGCCCAGGCTGGAGTGCAGTGGCGAAATCTCGGCTTACTGCAACCTCTGCCTCCCAGGTTCAAGTGATTTTCCTGCCTCAGCCTCCTGAGTAGCTGGGACTACAGGCATCCGTCACCACACCTGGCTAATTTTTTGTATTTTTAGTAGAGATGGGGTTTCACCATGTTGGCCAGGATGATCTCCATCTCCTGACCTCATTATCCACCTGCCTCAGCCTCCTAAAGTGCTAGGATTACAGGTGTGAGCTACTGCACCCAGCCATTGTTTTGTTTTTGAGACAAGGTTTTGCTCAGCTGCAGGCTGGAGTGCAGTGGCAATATCACAGCTGACTGCCACCTCTAACTCCTAGGCTTATGAGATCCTCCCACCTCAGCCCCCCAAGTAGCTGGGACCACAGGCATGTGCCACCATGCCTGGCTAATCTGTTTTTATTTTGCAGAGATGGGGTCTTCCTATATTGCCCAGGCTGGAGGTTATTACTCTTAATCCCACTTTAAAGATGAGGAAACTTAAGATTCAGTGATGCTAGGAAACTTAACCCAGAATCACATAACCAATAAGGAGAGTTGGGATTTAAATTCAGATATAATTTAAGAAATCAAAGCTCTTAACTATAGTAAAAAAAAAAAAAAAGACAAATTATAATAAAACAACTATTAGGCCTTCTACACAGTTGCAACACATTAGGGCCTGTCTACTTATATTGTGGTGTATATTTAAAGTTCCACATAGACTTGTTTCCTGCACTATTATACATCCATAGGTTTCACCCTTATCCCTGGCCACATATCCCATAAAACTGAGCTCTAAGTCATCAATAAAATGTACAAGGCCAACCTACTACCTTGTTGAGAAGAGACATTCTGAATTTTTTTTTAATTGGATGTAGCAATGTAAACTCACCGTCCTTACCTAGAAAGGCCGAAAGACAGCTAGAAGCACCTGGGAAATGAGGTACACCTTATGAACAGCATGCTAATAACAGTTTTTATTGCACTATAAAATGAAGCAGCCCAGGCGTGGTGATTTATATCTGTAATCCCAGCACTTTGGGAGGCCAAGGATCGCTCGAGCCCAGGAGTTGGAGACCTGCCTAGGCAACAAAGGGAGACCCCTGTCTCTACCAAACATTTTTTAAAAAATAGCCAGAGATTGCATCACTGGGGCCTGTCGAGAGTGAGACTCCTGTCTCAATTATAAAAAAAAAAAAAATAGCCAGGCGTGGTGGTTCCTGCCTGTGGTTCCAGCTACAGGGGAGGCTGCAATGGGGAGGCTGGGGCTGCAATGAGCTCTGATTGCACCAGTAGCCTCTCAGTTGGGGTGACAGAGTGAGACTGTGTCTTAAAAAAAAAAAAAAAAAGGTAAAAAAAATCCCTGTAGCCTAAAGAAAACATATCTATGTTCATTTTGAAAGTTGCTGGCCTTGAATTTGTTTAAAACAGACTTTTCCCTATAACTCTATATAGCTACAACCATAACTAAAACACTACAATCACTACAGCTGTAACAGCCTACTTCACAAATTGGTTACAATAATTTTTTAAAAGTACAACTATAAGTCTAAAGCTTCAACTCTCATTCTGAAACTTCCTGAATATTTATTTAATCTCAAGATAAAAATCAGCATGGTGTTTCTACGTTGAGTCCTAGGCCTTCTCAAACCAGTTCAAACCAGAGTTTAATGCGAGAGGCTCAGCAGATTTCTGCTTTGTTGTCAGTCCCTAAAACGTGATGACCTCAGCAGCCATAAACCAAAGGTAACGAGTATCCCACAGACAGAAAGCAGATGAAGGGAATGTACATGATCCTTGTAAGACTTTCTCATTCTAAAGTGCAATTCTACTCTCATTTTCTTTCTATGAGATTCTACGAAGCAATCCCAGAAGAAGGCAAGAATCAAGATACTAAGCTCCATCTTCCCTACTCATTTAGAGTAAAATCATTTCCTACACAGTTCTACAGTTTATGTGTTTCTAACTACCCTATGCAACCATCTGCCAGTTGCTGATTTTACACCTTTTTCTTCGCATAAAATATAAGAAGCTAACTGAAATGCAACCACGCTGCAAAATGCAATAAAGCTTCAATAATTTCAATATATTTGTGCCTTATTTCCCTCATTCTAAACATACGGCCTTTGAGAGGGCCATGAAAAACAAAAAACAAAAATGGCCAAATACGATTTCTTTGGCCTGCTTCTGTACTTGCAGAATTAAGAACTTAATTCTTTCACTCTATCGTCCCTGCCACATCACTAAAACTCAAGGTGAATCATGAGATAACAATACACGTTGAAATCCAGAAAAATATATTGTTAAACGCTCAAATAACTAAAAGACACAGGAAAAAGGTGTCAACCAGCCAACAATAAATGTGAGGCTACTGGGAACAACTTTTCACACGTGGAGTAAATTAGGATGCATGAGATTACATTCCACCCAACACTAGTTTGATTTCTTGTTCCCTTTTCAAATCACACCTGTAAACCTTCTCAACAGCACCACAAAACAACGGCACTGACCCTGGACACTCACTTGCCAGATAGTTTCCAAAGATGTCACCAGTGCCCACCTCCCTACTCACCTGTGATGCATCAGCTTGAGGCCAAATGTCAGAGAAATGAGCGCTCGGGTGGTGGGGAACCGGCATCAGGGTTTGCGTTCCAGGGTCACGTGCTACCGCATCCTGCTCACAACCGCAGCACCGACACGGCCATTAGTCCCCGGGGCAGCCCAGGCCCTCCCAACTTCTCCCAAGGGCCGGAGGCCCTGCACCCAGCCACGGGTTGGAGCATGTCGAAGAACACCTGGAGCCTTCCGTCCAGAAGCTTCGGGAGGGGGGCCGCCCAACCTGGGGGAGTGGAGAAAAGAGCGGTCACACAGGGAGGTCGCAGCCCCAGTCTCCTAGTCACCTGAGAGCCCCAGGCGCTGCGGACGCCACCTCCCAAGGGCTGTGGTTCCGCCTGCCTGCCCGGGGCCCTGAGGCCTTGCCCCGTCCCGCCCCGGCGGGGCCCGCGCGCAGCCCACCTGCCAGCTGCGCTGGGGGCTTGCGCGCCTGCCCCACCGCTTTGTTCCTCATCCGGGCAGTGTTCGCCTCGGGGCCCTGCCCGTCCGCTCGGGCCCCTCACCCCTGGGGCCGCTGCCCTAACGTTTCCCGCCCCGCCCGGCCCTTCCCGGCCCGCCGCCTCCTCAGGGCCGCACCCTCCGCGGTACGTTTCCGGCTCCTCAGCCACTCTCGGCGCCCGCCACTACGCCCCCCGTGCGTGCAGCCCTCCCCGCCGCGGCCCGCAAGCGGCGCCCGCGCACCGCCGCGCCCCTCTCCCAGCCCAGGCCCCTCCGCGCGTGCGCACGGAAGATGCGCAGGCCGCAAGAAGCTCCGCCGGGAGCTCAGTATCTCCATCCGGCCGGGTCGAATCGAGTGCCGAGCGATCGACCCATGGTTGCTAGGCGACCAGGGCTGCTGTGCCCGCAGGTGGTGAGTTTTGAATCCGCTTAATCCGGCAGACTCAGGATTTCAGTCTTCATGGTATTCCGCTACTAGGGAAGCCTGGGTCCACACAATGCCCCCAAAATTCGAAGTTAGCCCCGAGAGTTGTCGCTGTTGCCCAGGAGGAATTGAGATTCTATACTGAATATTTTTCACCGTCTGCTACACCTGAAGGCTGCCCAGGTTCCCTGCTTCCCGTCGTAAATGCTGGGGTTTGGGATTTTAAACAAATTTTCTTCCTCTTTTCTCTGCCGTTAGTTCTCTACTGCGCGCCTAACGCTAAGGGTACCGAGATGGTTTTAAAGGAAGATTTTCCCAAGCTACTGAGCAGTAGACGGGGAAACTACATCACACTGCGTGACTCCCATACGCGAGCAGAACAGCAGACTCAGGAATTCTTCCTCTCATTCACAAAGCGTTTGTTGAATCACATCTCAAACCTAGGGATACAGAGCAAGGCACAAGCCCTGACCTTCACCTGCCTGCAGTGTAGTGGGGACTGATGAATTTTGAAAATTCAATCTAATGTGAAAGGGTAGAGGCCCATGTAACGTTTTGAAGGAGAGCTGGGAGGGAACAGCACTGAACATCGGCAGGCAGGTCACATTGGTTTTGCTCTCTGTTGACAACACATAGAAATCTAAATCAAGAAGGTCATCATCCCAACTGAAATGCCACTTCAGATCTAGAGCCTAGAGAATGATGAAGTATCTTATGACCAGGTGAATGCTTTCACTAAGTTTGGGTTTGGATGTCTATTCTTTTGGAACAATTTTTCTTAAGTTCAGAGGTAAACATAAAAATCAAGTCACATAAATGTAAGAGCTAAAACCATAATACTTACAGAAGAAAATAAAGGCAAAAATGTTGTGACCTTGATAGGACACAAAAACCACAAACTATTTAAAAAATTGGACCAGATGCAGTGGCTCTCACCTTAGCATTTCGTGAGGCTGAGGTAGGAGGATAGCTTGAGCCCAGGAGTTTGAGACCATCCTGGGCAACAAAGTAAGACCCTGTCTCTACAAAAAATTAGCTGGTCAAAGTGATATGTGTGTGTAGTCCCAGCTACTTGGGAGGGTGAGGCAGGAGGATAGCCTGTGCCCAGGAGTATGAGGTTGCAATGAGCTAAGATTGTGCCACTGCACTCCAGCTCAGGTAACAGAGAGACCCTGTCTCGAAAAAAGGACAAATCAAAATTCATCAAAATTAAAATGGTTGGTCTTGAAAAGATACTGCCAACAAAATGAAGAGTCAAGCCAGAGACTGGGAGAAAATATTTTCAAAACAAGTATCTGACAAAAGATTTGTATCAAATATATAAATAACCCTTTAAACCCAATAATAAGAAGGCAATTCAATTTAAAAACTGAGGCAAAAATGTCAATAGCCAGTTCACCAAAGAAGATATATGGAAGTCAATTAAGCACAGAAAAAGATATACAACATCATCAGGAATCAAAGAAATGCAAATTAAAGCACAATGAAGTGATATTTATTATACACCTACTAGAATGGCTAAAATTAAAAAGACCAACTATAACAAGTGTTGGCACATATATGGAGCAACTGGCACTATCACATTTTGTTGGTGAGAATGCAAAAACACTCAATTGCCACAGCCATTTTAGAATGGCAATTTCTTTTCTTTTTTTTTTTTTTTAGACAGGGTTTCACTCTGTCACCCAGGCTGGAGTGCAGTGGTGCAGTCACAGCTCACTGCAGCCTCCGCCTCCTGGGTTCAAGTGATTCTCCTGCTTCAGCCTTCCCAGCAGCTAGGATTACAGGTGCTTGCCAACATACCTGGCAATTTTTTGTATTTGTAGTAGAGATGGGGTTTTACCATGTTGGCCAGGCCGGTTGCAAACTCCTGACCTCAAGTGATCTGCCTGCCTTGGCCTCCCAAAGTGCTGGGATTACAGGTGTGAGCCACTATGCCTGGCCAGCAATTTCTTATACCTCTTATACCGTACAATTCTCCATATTCCTTAGGTATTTACCAAAGAAAAATAAAAACATGTACAAAGACTTGTACGCCAATGTCCATATCTGCTTTATCTATAATAGACCAAAACAGGAAATGACCCAAGTGTCCATCAACTGGTAATGAATACTGATAGTGTACAGTCTCTATACAGTGGAATTCTACTTAAAAAGGAACGAGCTATTGATACATGGGTTGATCTCAAAAGCCACATTATGCTAAGTGAAAGAAACCAGACACAAGAGACTACATATTATGAGTCCAGATATATGAAATTCTAGAAAAGGCAAAACTGTAGTAATAGCAGATAAGTGATTGTCAGAAGTTGGAAATGGGTGGGGGGATGAGATTGCCTACAAGGGGCATAAGAGAACTTTTAGGAGGGATGAAAATGGTCTTGACTGTGGTAGAAGTTACACAACTGTATATACATCTGTCCAAATTAATCAAATAGTAAATTTGACATTGGTGAGTTTTTTTCTGTTTTTGTCTTTGTTTTTTTGTTTTTGTTTTTGTTTTGAGATGGAGTCTCACTCTGTTGCCTGGGCTGGAGTGCAGTGGCATGATCTCAGCTCACTGCAACCTCCAACTCTCAGGTTTAAACAATTCTTCTGCCTCAGCCTCCCAAGTAGCTGGCATAACAGGCACTCACCACTATACCCTGCAAATTTTTTGTATTTTTAGTAGAGACGAGGTTTCATGCTGTTGGCCAGGTTGGTTTTGAACTGCTCAGCTTGTGATTCACCTACCTCAGCCTCCCAAAGTGCTAGGATTATAGGTATGAGCCACGCACCTGGCCAGTGAGTTTTATTGTATGTAAAAATACCTCAAAAAGTCAATTTAAAAAATTATGTCAAGATTACCAAAGAGTGAAGTGTTCTGACTCTACTCCCCAGACTAGGCACACTGTATGCTCTCTCATAGTACCTATCTTTATTGTAATAAATTGTTTAATTTTCTATTTTGCCAAATAGATTTTAAATTTTGGGAAGAAGATTCATGTCTAATTTAATGCTATGCAACATAGCACTATACCTGGCATATATTAGATATTCAATAAATTTCTGATGTGTGAGGGAAAGTCAGGCTGGCATAATTTGAAGCCATGCATATTGACCCACATATCTATTTACTTAGATATGTACAGCAAATGGTTGCCCAAAGATTGCCTTAACTGCTGATTTAGGGTGACTTACCCCTTTAAGGAGACTCCACGGTGCTATTAAGACAATAAAAACAATGGAAAGGCCAGACATAGTGGCTTACACCTGTAATCCTAGCACTTCAGGAAGCCAAGGCTGGTGGATTGCTTGAGTCCAGGAGTTCGAGCCTAGCCTGAGTAACATGGTAAAACCCTGTCTTTACAAAAAATACAAAAATTATCCGGGTGTGGTGGTGCATGCCTGTGGTCCCAGCTACTTGGGAGGCTGAGGTAGGAGTATCCTTTGAGCCTGGAAGGTTGACGCTGCAGTGAGCTGTGATCAGGCCACTGCCACTGCCACTGCACTCTGGTCTGGGCGACAGAGCAAGGCACTGTCTCAAACAACAACAACCACAATGGGAGGAACTGGCCAATCACACAAGTAGAATTGAAGAATGTTGGCATGGCAGAGCAATGAAGATAGGTTCTGAGGAATGCATCCTCAGGTGATTTTGTGGTTGTACAAACATCATAGAGTGGACTTACACATACCTGGATGGTCTAGCCTATTACACTCCTAGGCTAGATGGTACAGCCTGTTGCTCCTAGGCTGCAAACCTGCACAGCATGTTACTGTACTGAGTACTCCAGACAATTGTAACATTGTGGTATTTGTGTATCTAAACATATCTAAACGGAAAAGGTACAGTAAAAGTATGGATACAAGATTAAAAATGGTATGCCTGTATGGGGCAGCTTCATCATAATCTTATGAGATCACTCTTGTATTTGCAATTGTCGTTGACCAAAACATCACCGTGGCACAGGACTGTATATAATGACTGTGAAATAATGATGGAGAGTATAGTCAAGCATAGACCTTAGAGATAATATCAGACAACCAGATAACAATCACTAAGATTTTTCCTGGACATAAGAGATAGAAACAGAGAGCAAATTACCTTTAAACATCTCCTAGTACCAAAGATAAGAACAGTAATGGGTAAACTTGGGCCCAGCTTTAGCTGCTCAGGATATCTTTCTTTTAACTGACTGCAATTAAGGTTTTAAATCTTGCTTCCTCTGTCTTATGGTAAGGTGGATCTGGAAATAAAGACCTTTTAGATGGGCAAACCTGTTCTTTGGCATTCTTGGGATTCCCGCCCATAAGTTTGACACAATTATAATGTATAATGCAAGGACTGACCTCCTTCTTTATTTGATATTCACAGAAAGGAATAGGAAGGCTAACGTTTACTCGACAAATATTTGTTGAGTATCTACTATGTGCCAGCCGTTGCTCTAGGAACTGCAGGCATAGCAGTAAACAAAACAGCCAAAAACTACCAGTTCCTATGGAGCTTACATTATAATGGAGGAAGATAGGTAACAAAGAAATAAATAATTAAAATACACAATATTCCAGATAGCAATAAATAACATGAAAAAAGAATGGCTGGGAAAATGGACAGAAAATGCCTGGGAATGGGCCTGCAATTTTTTTCTTAGGTGGAGACTGGCTCTGTTGCCCAGGCTGGAGTGCATTGGCCTGATCTCAGCTCACTGCAACCTCTGCATCCCGGGTTCAAGTGCTTCTTCCACTTCAGCCTCCCAAGTAGCTGGGACTACAGGCGTGTGCCACCATGCCCAGCTAATTTTTGTATTTTTAGTAGAGACTGGGTTTCATCATGTTGGCCCGGCTGGTTTTGAACTTCAGATGTTGTCATCTGCCTGTCTCGGCCTCCCAAAGTGCTGGGATTACAGGCGTGAGCCACTGTGCCTGGTCAGGCCTGCAATTTTAATAGGGTAGACAGAGAAGCTATCACTCAAAAGGTGACATTTGAACCAAAGGAGAGAAGAGAG